AATATTTATATAAATATTTCTACGAAAGAATGTAACCTGAAAGAACTCCGAAATTGCAACTTTAACTTCGACCGTCTCAGTAAGCCAATTTTCGTGGATCTAGTAACTTTTTCACAAATCTGATGTTCGTGAGTACATGAATGTGTGTATGCTGCTGAAGCAGCTAGGAAGAGAGCAGCTGGTCGAGACCACTAGACCTACCGCAGAGTGGTTCTGCCAGAGCCAAACGATCCTGATCCAATAATTAGATACGCGCACATTTCCAAAAAGGTCAGGATATTTATTCGTAGTATCTTACCAGATGACTCCTCAAGGGTTCAAAACAAATGTTTATCAGAACGAGTTATAAGATTGAAGTAAATATCGAACTTCACTCGTGTAGTTATTTGATGGTAACTCTAGGATAGGAGAAATATCCGTTCTTGGGAATCTTATAGTAGTGGGACTTGTGAAGGATAGCTGAGAACTAACTCTTTCAAGTCGTATTCGATATCATCTGTCGTAGCCCAAACTGTTTAGTTGAGGGTTTCATTACAGAGCACATTCAGCTATGGCGTTGAAGTAATAGATGCCTGATATTAGGAGATCTTGCTACACCTATTATACAGCCACATTTTCAGAAACTGATTGTACAGAAGGTAGGTTCATTGCAGATTCCTCAGGAGTGAAATTGTTGAAAAGCGTCGATTGGAAACACTTGGTATAAGCTATGACCTTGATGAGCGCTTATGTATAGTGCATTCTGCATAGAAGTACCATCATCGTTCCGCTACTAATACGGTTGTGAGAAGCGGCGAGAGTGAAAAACAGAAACATCGATGAGTCGGTTGCGTATATAACCAGAGTATTGTTTCACCTATCTTGGTGCAGCAGACAAAGCAGTGGTAAATCAGGAGACAAAATTCATACTGAACACTTTAATAAAACTAAACTGTAGCAATGTAACATTCAAATGAGGGAGTACAGTAGCGATGAATGATGGGTTGTCAGTATCAGGTAATTGTGTCACCTAAATTAATGAATTGAGACAATCTGAAAGTCGCAATTAGCATGAACCTTAGAGATATCAGTAATCGTAAGTCTTCCGCGACCAAAGTATCCAGGGTTTTATGGGCTACACAGAAGTCATTAGATCACTTGGATGGAAAAATATTTGGGGAACTATAACAAACGTTTTTTAAGCGGTATTTAGAATGTGAGTTTCATGCGGATTTGTTGAGACGCGCCATACGGCAAAGGGATCAAAATTGTGATTGATCTCACAAGTTATCTTACGAAAGCAAAACAATTTCTTTTATCTTACCATGAGTTACGAGATGACTTGATACTTCATTACCGTAACTTCACAATGATTTGTCTTTCATTGTATTATCTTCTCCTTCCATTTAGAAACGATTATGTAAGAAGACATTCTAACATAGTTCAAAAACTGTGACCAAACAACCTACTTTTTCGGTTCCGTCTTTTTGCATCTGGTTGGGACTTGAAGTAGTCATTCATCAGAATAATTCCTATCATTGCCTACTGTTAATGCATTCAAAGTAACACCAAATCTGCACAGAGTAGGGATTGGTGTTGTTTGGTTGACATGATATCCTCGCTACTAAAATTAAAAGCCTCTTATTGGCTTCTAATCTGTGGTTCGGAAATATAGAGATAATTTTAGTTGTAATCTAAATAAGACAGGATCCTATGTTAGTTCTGGTAATAGCGATCTCTCAGTTGATCCAAACTTGCTTTGACTGCGTCAATAGATAAAGCTCCAGTCATGTATTGAGGTGACGAGTTCAATGTTACGGGAGAAACGAAGACATTTTGCTGATCAAACCTTTATATATATAATCATTAATTTCACTGTTTTTTGGGTATATTTGTTTTACTTAACTTATGAACTTGTTTGAATTATTATTTGCGGACATATTGGACTCCCGTTTCTCTTTGTTGTTCGTTGCAGTTTTTTGCTCCAAGAGATAATAAATTAGAAGAACGACATTGGTCGTCTATTTGTAATAAAGTATTTTGGTCGAATTTGCGATTTGGAATAAACTTTGGTGTC